TCCTACAACAACATCGGTCTCGTGTATGACAACATGGGTGACTACTCGAAAGCACTTGAATTTTACGAAAAATCACTTAAAATTAAAGAAAAAGCTCTGCCTCCGAATCATCCCGATTTGGCTACTTCCTACAACAACATCGGCCAAGTGTATAACAACATGGGTGACAACTCGAAAGCACTTGAATTTTACGAAAAATCACTTAAAATAAGAGAAAAAGCTCTGCCTTCGAATCATCCCTATTTGGCTACTTCCTACAACAACATCGGTCTAGTGTATAACAACATGGGTGACTACTCGAAAGCACTTGAATTTTACGAAAAATCACTTAAAATAAGAGAAAAAGCTCTGCCTCCGAATCATCCCTATTTGGCTACTTCCTACAACAACATCGGTGAAGTGTATAGAAACATGGGTGACTACTCGAAAGCACTTGAATTTTACGAAAAATCACTTAAAATTAAAGAAAAAGCTCTGCCTCCGAATCATCCCGATTTGGCTATTTCATATGGCGACATCGGTCAAGTGTATAATAATATGGGCAATTACTCCAAGGCACTTTCGTTTCTCGAAAAGGCGCTAACTATTCAACAGAAAACACTTCCGCCATCACATCCTCATATTAAAGAAACGATACGTAGAATTAACAATGTTAAAAAGGTGTAAATTGTTTTTTTTATGTGCTCAATAAATTTATTCACATTGCTAATCGTTTCGATTTTTCTCGGTTTATTTTGGCTTATTCGCGCGCGCGCGACAAGGGAGAGATCCCTTGTCAATGCCATAGGTACCACAGGCGGACCACGCCGGACTGGTAGGGCAATGGCCGAAGGTATGCCGTATGAACGGTAGGGACCAACGACACATAGAGGCTTTCCCTAGCACTACACTGCTTCGCTATGGCACGAAAGTTCCTGTCCCTATTGAATCAGACAACGTAGTTCTCTGACCCACACTCATAACTCAACTCATCTCATCTCATCTCAAAAGTACTCATACTCATACTCATAATAACTGATAGTATTTATTTTTTCTCAAAATAACTTACTTCAACTCAACTCAACTGAATATGTAAAAAAAATTTTTTTCTTACTTCTCAATATTGTATAATATCGAAACTCATCTAAAAGCAGAGAAAAAAAAAAGTTTTATCAAATATATATTGAATTTATTATTTACCTCATATAGAATTTAATAATACAATTATCATTGTAAATAATATAATAGTAATAATAAATAATAATCCCGGGTATATAAATACATTGTAATGCATTATAATAATACAACTCGAGTGTATACTGTTTCATAATGATATATACATGTTTTTATATACCCTGAGATTAATTGACCGATGTTCAAAATTTTGATTGATTTTTTATCAATCATTCCACTTCTGTTTTAATTGATTTTATGATTTTTTTTTCTCGTCTGACATACATCTATATCATGTCATCGTCGACGAAAAAAAATTTTTATGTTACATATATATAGGGTGTTGTCTTTCTCTTTCACATTGCTCGTCTTCAAATAAGAATACAAGACAAGAGAATTCGTCCACTCGAGTAACTTAAAAAATAGGTGTGTTTTATTTTTACAAAATGTGATCTTTATTTTAAGAATGTCTGAAATATATATACATGTCTAAATTATATAGAATCAGATAGAGTTTGTCTCTCTACTGAACAATATAATTTTTATTGGACGTCTTCATTATCTTCAATATATATGTATTTGAGAAATTTCTGAGAAATTTTTGCGTAAACTTTTTTCACGTATAGTTTTTCGACTTTTCTTTAAAGAAATGTTAGTTGTGCAAAAATTGAAATTTCTACACATTTAAGATTGATGAATTTCTTTCATTTCAAATTATTTTCATTAGAATATAGTGCTTCTCAGGATTTACCTAATTTTCGTCCAAAATGTATCAACTTGTACATAACAAACTATGAATGATGTGTATTCACTTATATTGTCATATTTATCGATATAGTAATGAATATACAAACAGCTATGAATTCATCTCAAAATAGTCTCCTGATGATAGACTATATCATATTTGTACTCTTTAAATTTTCATGATTTATCGATGAAAACAAAATTCATCATTATAAACATTTTGAACAAGCAACTGTAATATAAAAGTAATATTATTTCTAGATTTTTATACGAAACTGTATATCAGACAAAGTATTAGCACAAAAAAGAGGCATTTTTTGTTTAGATATAACGTACATTATTGTCTTTATATGTTCCACTTTCTTAATTGAATTATTAATGAGTATTTTGACATTGTAGAAATGAAAGAGGTAACTGTTTTTAGTTACCTGACAAAGTACTCTCTATGAAGTAATGTCATTTAATTAGAATGAAATGAAGTATTTTCTAAGAGAGACAATAATGATAGCAGTAGAGCATCTAATGAATGTCTTCATGTATTTCTCATTATATTTCTCTAGTATAAAAATTATTCGACAGATACAACAATTACATTTTGTTTTCAGTGTAGATATTTAATTTTTATAAAAATTCGATGTTGGTTTTTTATTAGAAAATGATTAAACTATAGTTGCTTGAGAAATTGTATATTTTGTTTTTATTCAGATCTCTCATCATACAGTTGTTGGTGTATTGTGTATTTCGATTATAGATGTAGAGTGAGGCGTTACACTAAAAAAAGAAAAAAGAAAACATGCTGAATAACTTATTGTAATATTTTCTCGTTAAGGATAAATTCTTATTCTGACGAATATTCGTTTTCTATGATTTTCTAAAGATAATTGATATTTTTATCGAGTATTTGTGAGATATAGAGTTTTATTGTCAGTTCATTGAAAAATATCTCAGAATTTTCATAAATAAAATTATATATAGATTAATTATTTGAGTCTATAAAAGAAATCTCAGTAGTAATAATAAATAAATTAATGAATCACATTTTTTTTTCTCATTAGACATATATACATGGTTTTTTGTTATGCTTGAAAGTATAAGTGAATCTATGAGACATAGAAGAGATTTAAAGAAAATTGCAAACCTCTTTCGAGTAAATGATATCGTCCTTATAATTTTTATGAGAAATTTCTACTAATAAAAAGACTTTTAATAAAAGATTTTTTTGTAAAGTTAAACAACGAGTCTTTTGGTAAAATCCACAAATGGACGAATTCTTTATCAGTATTTCAGTGAATGTTGTTTTCATATTAATCTCTTTATATATCTTGTTGAGTCTGACACTACACTATTGTTCTTCAACATGAATATAGACAATTTATTAGTAACAAAACTATCAGTTTGAATAAAAGATTCTAGTTGTTTTGCTTTTTACTTATGAAATAGGAACAATGTTTGACCTTTTTACTGTTAGAAAAGAATAATTGAGAAAGTTCGTTTACAGGAAAAAATACATTTCAATTAGAGATTTTAAACTTGTAATTTTTGTATAATTATGACCTGATAAATACTGTTGAAAGTTGTGCGTGTAAATTTTTTTTTTTGAGAATGAATCGAATGAATCATTTATTGTTTTTGCACGAAAGCAATCTTTTTACTTTTCTTCTTTATCCATATTTTGTTTTATTTAATATTTAATTGTAACACAGAAAATAACAGAGGGGTGTGAATCTGATGAGCTCTTCTTGTTAGCTCATACCTAAATGCTTTAAGGATTTAGTAGATGCGTTCATTGAATATTAAAAGATTTATCTCATTGAATTAGTTTTCTTTATTAGAATTTTTTTTCTTTTACTTTTCTACTTATATTTTTGTTTATCAATGAGAATTTTGATAAAAATTAATAGACGAATCAATTGGATACATTAAATTTGTATCAATTAATACTATACAGTTTTTACCATTTATATAAGCCGAATCAATAGTAAAAAAAATAGAGTTGATGATTACGAAGATGATATAAAAATTCAATTATGTATTATAGAAAGTTTTTACGGAAGAATAATTTTAATTTAGACATATATATATATTGATCTGTCATAAACTTCTCTTTTTGTATAGCTTATATTGTACATATTTTTCTCTGACGAAAATCACACAGCTCATTTAATAATAAAATTCAATACTGTTATTTTTTTGTTTTTTTTTTCTACTGTATAACAATCATATTTTGATTTACGTAATCTAATATATGAACACAAATGATGTTGTTAAACATTAAAATCAAGTTCAACATGCTTTTGAAATAAGTGTTTACGGAGATTATTGATATTGAAGTGAGGAACGTATTTATACGTTCAATCTCACTCACTCATTATTCCTAAAAACACTCAACATTTTCATGGATCACATATTAATGTCATAAGTGTAGAGTTTTTGTGATATAAGTGCTAGAATAATGCATCAAAGGTATGAGATTCCTTCGAAACACTTCGAAAAAGACAAATTTCCAAATGATAAATCAATTATAAAAATAGCTAAGAATTCATTCGAAAGGTTTTTGTTCCATAAAAGTCAAAAATAAATATATTGATAATTATTCTTATATGACATTGAAAATAATTCATCATTTTACATCATTGAAAAAACTATTTTTTGTTTCATCGAAATAGTTTCGTTATTGATCTGAATTAGATTTTACTTCAATAAAAAATATAGTAATATATTGAAACTTTTTCAAATTCATATTACATATAGTTAGTTTCTGAAGAAATACCGATCAATTCCATCTTAATTTTCTACAATGAGAAAATATTTTTCGATTTTATCTTCTAATATTATTTATTGAAACATTTTCGAATAGAAACAATAGGATATTCTAGATTGTTTTTTCTCTGTAATCGATTTAGACACGTTAAGTATATCAAATAGACCACAAAGTAAGACAGAATACAAGTAGTAATGAGTAAATTATGAGCTACGGTGTAGATTGTTGGTGTTTATGAAAACAAGCTTACCTACACGCACATCTTCATTATTCTGTTGTCTTAATTTTTGGTTTGAAGGAAATTGACATACTAAACTTGCATTATAATCTTTACTGAGTAGAGTTCAAGAACAAATGACAACATCAATGCAATTTTAATCATACAACTTTCAGCACCACTCAAAACTCCTTTTCAAATATAACTCTAAAAACTCTATCTAGACGTGAAATTCATTCTCTCTGAGTTTTGTTTCATTTTAAGTGCTTCACTTTTTGTTAAACTAGTCGTTATCTTTATTGTCAATAGAAAGCAAAATAAAAAGCAATTAATTACAAAAAAAACTTAATAAATAATGTCATGCCTTGCTTTCTTTTTATGATATCTAAGAGTTTCTCTTGTTCTCACCTTATATTACCATAAGTGTTTGTATACATAGAAACAGGTCAATAGAAATCATTGTTTGAAAATGTATGATGAATTTCTGTATTAGTAGGTTCATTTTTTAGTCAATTAAGAGTCTAATATCGTGCGAAGGCGATGAAAGCATAGATAAAATGTTACTATTGATGTTCTTCTACTATTCTTGAGGTGTGGGTGTGGGTTTAAGTGAAGAGAAGATAAACACCCACACTCTTATTTAATAGGACTTGAAGAACTATTGATACTCCCTATATAATAGGGTGTGGGGTGTGGGTGGGTGTGGGGTGTGGGTGGGTGTGGGGTGTGGGTGTGGGCGTGAGACAATAAAGATAACAACACCCACACTCGCTGATATCTTCTGAGAAAGTT